TAAGTGAGGGCACCACTTCGATCAGAGAGGAGTCACAGTGCCCGCACCATCCGGCAGGGGTAATTTTCGCCCCTCGTATCGCCGGAGAAAATCGCGATACGCTATCTCCTCCGTGAATTTCACTATCGCCCGACGGGCCGTTACCAACTCGAGCCCATAAATTGCTAACACAGGGACAGAGAGCAAATCACAAGCCAATGCAATCTCCGGGTAACCAGCCCGCACAGAGAATTCGAGTCCCACAGACTGAGTCCGGACGACAGGGGGAAAGGGACCCCCATCGTAACTCCACGTCAGCACAGGCGGGCAGAGACACACCCGCCCCCAACCGGCCAAATTGGTAAACAAGCACCATCTGCAGGAGTGCTGAGGCAACACGTCTGCCCCCTACCGAAGCTAGGGCCAGACTCAGGTGGTGGTAGTGTGTGGAGGTGGTGGTAGTGTGTGGAGGTGGTGGTAGTGTGTGGTGGTGGTGGTAGTGTGTGGAGGTGGTGGTAGTGTGTGGTGGTGGTGGTAGTGTGTGGAGGTGGTGGTAGTGTGTGGTGGTGGTGGTAGTGTGTGGTGGTAGTGTGTGGAGGTGGTGGTAGTGTGTGGAGGTGGTGGTAGTGTGTGGTGGTGGTGGTAGTGTGTGGAGGTGGTGGTAGTGTGTGGTGGTGGTGGTAGTGTGTGGAGGTGGTGGTAGTGTGTGGTGGTGGTGGTAGTGTGTGGTGGTGGTGGTAGTGTGTGGAGGTGGTGGTAGTGTGTAGAGGTGGTGGTAGTGTGTGGTGGTGGTGGTAGTGTGTGGTGGTGTTGGTAGTGTGTGGAGGTGGTGGTAGTGTGTGGAGGTGGTGGTAGTGTGTGGTGGTGGTGGTAGTGTGCGGTGGTGTAGTGGTAGTGAGTGGAGGTGGTGGTAGTGTGTGGAGGTGGTGGTAGTGTGTGGAGGTGGTGGTAGTGTGTGGTGGTGGTGGTAGTGTGTGGTGGTGGTGGTAGTGTGTGGAGGTGGTGGTAGTGTGTGGAGGTGGTGGTAGTGTGTGGTGGTGGTGGTAGTGTGTGGTGGTGGTGGTAGTGTGTGGAGGTGGTGGTAGTGTGTGGTGGTGGTGGTAGTGTGTGGAGGTGGTGGTAGTGTGTGGAGGTGGTGGTAGTGTGTGGTGGTGGTGGTAGTGTGTGGTGGTGGTGGTAGTGTGTGGAGGTGGTGGTAGTGTGTGGTGGTGGTGGTAGTGTGTGGAGGTGGTGGTAGTGTGTGGAGGTGGTGGTAGTGTGTGGTGGTGGTGGTAGTGTGTGGAGGTGGTGGTAGTGTGTGGAGGTGGTGGTAGTGTGTGGTGGTGGTGGTAGTGTGTGGTGGTGGTGGTAGTGTGTGGAGGTGGTGGTAGTGTGTGGAGGTGGTGGTAGTGTGTGGAGGTGGTGGTAGTGTGTGGTGGTGGTGGTAGTGAGTGGAGGTGGTGGTAGTGTGTGGAGGTGGTGGTAGTGTGTGGAGGTGGTGGTAGTGTGTGGTGGTGGTGGTAGTGTGTGGTGGTGGTGGTAGTGTGTGGTGGTGGTGGTAGTGTGTGGAGGTGGTGGTAGTGTGTGGTGGTGGTGGTAGTGTGTGGTGGTGGTGGTAGTGTGTGGTGGTGGTGGTAGTGTGTGGAGGTGGTGGTAGTGTGTGGTGGTGGTGGTAGTGTGTGGTGGTGGTGGTAGTGTGTGGAGGTGGTGGTAGTGTGTGGTGGTGGTGGTAGTGTGTGGTGGTGGTGGTAGTGTGTGGAGGTGGTGGTAGTGTGTGGAGGTGGTGGTAGTGTGTGGAGGTGGTGGAAGTGTGTGGAGGTTGTTGATATTTGTGGTGCATGGTGTTGGTGGTGGTTGTTGATGTTTGTGGTGGTTGGTGGTTGTTGATAATTGTGGTGGTTTCTGGTGGTGGTAGTTGTTAATAGTTGTCGTGATGGATGGTGGTGGTGGGTTTTGATAGTTGTAGTGGTTAATGGTGATGTCGGGTGAGTGTGGCGGTATGGTTTGGAGGAGGACGAAGAGGAAGGAGGAGAAGGGAGAGGAGGAAGGACGATGAGGGCGAGGAGGAAGGAGGAGGAGGAGGAGGAGGAGGGTGAGGAGGAATGAGGAGGAAGGAAGAGTAGGAGGTTGAGGACGAAGGACGAGGAGGGCGAGGAGGAAGGAGGAGGAGGAGGAGGACGAGGAGGAAGGAGAAGTAGGAAGTCGAGGAGGAAGGAAGAGGAGGGCGAGGAGGAAGGAGGAGTAGGAGGTATAAGAGGAAGGAGGAGGAGGGCGAGGAGAAAGGAGGAGGAGGGCGAGGAGGAAGGAGAAATAGGAGGTCGAGGAGGAAGGAGGAGGAAGGCGAGGAGGAAGGAGGAGGAGGACGAGGAGGATGGAGGAGTAGGAGGTCAAAGAGGAAGGAAAAGTAGGAGGTCGAAAAGAAAGGAAGAGTAGGTAAGAAGGTAGGAAGGAGGATGCCGAGGAGGATGGATGCGGAGGAGGAGGAAAGAGGAGGAGGAGGAGGAGGAAGGAGGAGGTCGAGAAGAAGGAGGAGGTCGAGGAGGAAGGAGGAAGAATTCCAGGTAGAAGGATGAGGTCAAAGAGGAAGGAGAATGAGATCGAGGTGGAAGGAGGAGGTCTTGGGGGAAGAGTAGAAGATGGAGGAGCTCGAGGAGGAAGAAGGAGGAGGAGGAGGAAGAGGGGGAGGAGGTCGAGGCAGAGGAGGATGAGATAGAGGAGGAAGGAGTAAGTGTATGAGGAAGGTGGAAGAGGGAGGAAGGAGGAGGTGGAAGGAGGAGGACGTCGGGGAGGGAGGAATTAAGTGATGGAGGAGAAGAGGAGGCGGAAGAATAGAGGGGGAGGGGGAAGAGAAGGAGGAGTAAGAGAAAGGGGATGAGAAGGAATGGGAAGAAAAGGGGGAGTGGGTAGGGGGAAGAGAAGGGGTAAAGAAGGGTAAATTAAGAGAAGAGGGTAGGGGTAAGCGAAGAGGGATGAGGAGGGGGAAGGGTAAGAGAAGGGAATGAGTAGGAAAGGGAAGAGAAGGGGAGAGGGGAGGGGGTAAGAGAAGGGGGATGAAGAGGAAGAGGAAGAGAAGGGGGGGAGGGGTAAGAGAAGGGGGGTGAGAGGAGGGGTAAGAGAAGGGGGATGAGGGGGAGGGGTAAGAGAAGGGGGATGAGGGGAGGGGTAAGAGAAAGGGGATGCTGTAACTCCTCTCACAGGGTGGCTACAGACCTCATCGTAGTGTTAACGAAATGGTCTGGAGCTAGGCTTCCTCCAGATCCAAAACTAGGACTTTTAGTGTGCGAACTACTTGTCTCGAGTGCAGTCATACACTCTAACATAATCTAGAAAATCACAGGTACCCTCTGGCAACGGGGGGAAATTCTTACTACAACATGGTAGTGGGAGGGAGGGGGTCAGGATAAGCTCTCTCCTCCCGAAACGGTTCGAGGCTGACCACAAGGTTTCACCATCCCCGTCAGAGACAGTATGGACCTCTTGCGAAACACTGGGGAAATAGGCATGACGTCACAAGGTTCCGACATGCCGCTACAAATCAGATCTCAGAAAAGGCGGGAAGACCTAGGTGCTGTGATTGGTCAACAGGTAATGACGTCACAGAATCCTGGTGGACGCTCGAGGCGCCCAAATCAGCATTCGGTCGAGACACTCAAGGTAGGATGAGACTGTCTTCAGAGCTCAAAGACAGGCTTCTTTGTCCTTAGTTCTAAGTTCAAGGTTTACCCCAACACCAGTAATACACGAGATCCGAATCACTGGGTCTTACAGGTGTCGAAGGATTTATCTATATAGCTTTGGAAGAATTATTTTTGAACTTTGCCCGAGGGGCCAGTTTATTGTGCAGCGCCACTCATCTTGTGAGTGGACACACCCACATAACAGCATGTACAGCCCTCCCCAATATAAGAAAACCTGCTGGGTTGTTCATCCTGTCACTTGTACCCCAGACACAGCTGGGACTTGCCTAACTGCCTCAAGTGAACAGCTTTTCAAACAAGAAGATTAACATTCGTCAACCCATAAAATCTTACATTATCTTGCAGGTGCAAAATGGGGGAATCTTTTAATAACAGTATCTATATATAGGATAAAGAGTATTTTCCTAATTCAAACAATGTGGGTTTATTGTTCTTCACATATTTCTAATGTCTATCAGATGTTCACATTCTCTCAGGTAGTGCTCTAGGCTGTGTCCGTCACTCTCACCACAGATTCTGCATCTCCGCTGCCCAGCTGTTGTTTCCATTCCAAATCTCTACGGATATTTGAATGCAAGACGGAGTCTCGCTAATACTGATTCTCTCCCGTGGGCACCTCCTCTTCGTCCATAATGATTGGGATTGCCAGCTGAAATCATGCTGTACCAGCGTACAGATTCACTGATTTGTTCTTCTACTCTCCTTTCCTCAGTAACCTTGTAACCGTGATATTGCCTGATGATACCTCTAATTTGTAGAAGAGTCTTGGGAATGAAGTATTCAATCTGGTCTCCTTCAGCGCCTTCAGCAGCCAGCACATCTGCTCGTTCATTCCACAGATTCCAACATGGGAGGGGATCCATAGAAATTTGACGGCTATTCCCTGATTGGTTAGTACTCTCACAGCTCTCTTGATTTCAGCGACTATCGCAAGATTTTTACTAAGGCTTTAAAAATCGTGCAGAAAAACTTGCGATGGTCACTGAAATCAAGAGAGCTGTGAGAGTTTCTTACAAGAAAACTAAAGAGAGATGAGTCACGCAAAACAAGTGTCTAAGTTTCCGTTATTCAGCATGAGTCATACAAAATGGTATGCGGGGCCTGGACTCAAACAGGACTTTATCTGTGATGTGGGCTTAGTTTCCATAGTAATGATTAACATGCTTGGTTCTGGAGAGTTTTATGTAGCTGCTGGACATCTCCCACAATATGTGGGTGATGTCCAGGCCTTCACCTGGTGTGTGAGGAAGTTGTCTGAGGTGACGGAGGTGAGTAACCTCTCCCACAGGGAGGGACGGCTGGTGTCTGCCTGGTGTGATGACTTGTGAGTAATCTCTCCCACAGGGAGGGACGGCCGGTGTCTGCCTGGTGTGACATGACTACTGACGGAGGTGAGTAACCTCTCCCACAGGGAGGGACGGCTGGTGTCTGCCTGGTGTGACATGACTACTGACGGAGGTGAGTAATCTCTCCCACAGGGAGGGACGGCCAGTGTCTGCCTGGTGTGACATGACTACTGACGGAGGTGAGTAACCTCTCCCACAGGGAGGGACGGCTGGTGTCTGCCTGGTGTGACATGACTACTGACGGAGGTGAGTAACCTCTCCCACTGGGAGGGACGGCTGGTGTCTGCCTGGTGTGACATGACTACTGACGGAGGTGAGTATTCTCTCCCACAGGGAGGGACGGCCAGTGTCTGCCTGGTGTGACATGACTACTGACGGAGGTGAGTACTCTCTCCCACAGGGAGGGACGGCCAGTGTCTGCCTGGTGTGACATGACTACTGACGGAGGTGAGTACTCTCTCCCACAGGGAGGGACGGCTGGTGTCTGCCTGGTGTGACCTGCTGCAGTCGTAATGGTGGTATTATTAGTTGTAGTGATGGTCACAGTTACAACTTCAGGGAAGTTTTGGTGGGAACAAACTTTCTACTAGTAAGACAAATCAACTGACCACAACATGGAACTAATAAATTAATATAACCTTCCTGGTTGAACAAGTTCGTCTGGTTATAGGTAACCATTACCGTCCAGAGTGCAATATGTTCTGTATAAGAACATAAGAACATTAGAATGTAGGTAACAACAAAAGGCCTATTGGCCCATACGAAGCAGCTCCTATTTATATCGATCCAATCTCATTCATATATGTCTAACCTATGCTTGAAACCATCAATGAATCCTACTTTTATTATGTTATATAATTGGTTCAACATATCAACAACGCTCTTATCGAACAAGAATTAACCCAGGTCTTTCCTAAATCTAACTTATCTAATTTAAACCCATTATTTCGTGTTCTATCTTGTGTTGACACTTTTAATCTGTCATCCTGCGCTGGACGCGTTCTAGTGATTATATATACATATCTTGTAAGTTTTTATCATATCTCCTCTTTTTCTTCTGTCCTCCAAGGCTGTAAAATGTCGTTCAGTCAGCCTATAATCATAACTTAACCCTCTAAGCTCTGGTACTCTTCTAGTAGCGAACCTGCGCACTTTTTCAATTTTAATTTTGTTTCACAACGTATGGATTCCAAGCAGGTGCTGCACATTCCAAAACTAGTCTAACAAAAGCTGTGTAGATTGCATAGAACGCGTTCTAATTTAGGCTTCTAAATAACGTTCTAATATATGACAGCGTCCCATATGCTGCTGATGTCTCCCTGCCAATGCCTGCCTCAGTGTACCAAGTCAGTAAGGGACTAAAACAAGCACAAACTGCCTTGGAAAATTGTAGTGGAATCCGGATGCCAGAGTCTGCAACTACAAGCTCAATTAGCTCTCCTTCGAACTGGGTACAAAATGTTTCCATCTCAGCTGCGAGAGAACATTGCAAAGAAGCCGACTGTTTGGCGAATCTTATTTATTACACAATTAGTTTAATATTGTTTTTCCGCTCAAAGTTTATAATTGTATCAACACTAAACTTACGCCGTCGGACGAGCTGACCCATCTAGGTTCTGGAGACCTGGCCTCCACACTGAGCGCTTCCGTCCAAACCCTAGGTCTTGGTTATGACTGCCCGGAGGTCTTGATTATGACTGCCCGGAGGTCTTGGTTATGACTGCCCGGAGGTCTTGGTTATGACTGCCCGGAGGTCTTGGTTATGACTGCCCGGAGGCCATAGTTATGACTGCCTGGAGTTCTTGGTTATGACTGCCTGGAGGTCTTGGTTAAGACTGCTCGGAGGGCTTGGCTATGACTGCCTGGAGGTCTTGGTTATGACTGCCCGGAGGTCTTTGTTAGGACTGCCTGTAGGTTTTGGTTATGACTGATGGGGCCTCGTAGCCTGGTGGATAGCGCGCAGGACTCGTAATTCTGTGGCGCGGGTTCGATTCCCGCACGAGGCAGAAACAAATGGGCAAAGTTTCTTTCACCCTAAATGCCCCTGTTACCTAGCAGTAAACAGGTACCTGGGAGTTAGTCAGCTGTCACGGGCTGCTTCCTGGGGGTGGAGGCCTGGTCGAGGACCGGGCTGCGGGGACACTAAAAAAAGCCCCGAAATCATCTCAAGATAACCTCAAGATAGCCCGGAGGTCTTGGGTATGATTCCCCGCAGGTCTTGGTTATGACTGCCCGGAGGTCTTAATTATGACTGCCTGGAGGTCTTGGTTAGGACTGCCCGGAGGTCTTGGTTATGACTGCCCAGAGGTCTTAATTATGACTGCTCGGAGGTCTTGGTTATGACAGCCCGGAAATCTTGGTTATGACTGCCTGGAGATCTTCGTTATGACTGCCCAGTGGTCTTGGTTATGACTGCCTGTAGGTCATAGATATGACTGCCTAGAGGTCTTGGTTATGATTGCATGAAAGTCTTGGTTATGACTGCCTGGAGGTCTTGGATATAACAGCCCGAAGGTCTTGGTTATGACTGCCAGGAGGTCTTGGATATAACAGCCTGGAGGTCTTGGTTATGACTGCCTGGAGGTCTTGGTTATGACTGCCCGGAGGTCTTGGTTATGACTGCATGGAGGTCTTGATTATGATTGCATGAAGGTCTTAGTTATGACTGCCCGGAGGTCTTTCTTATGATTGCATGAAGGTCTTGGTTATGACTGGCCGAGGACTTGGTTATGAATGCCAGGAGTTCTTAGTTATGACTGCCCGGAGGTCTTGCTTATTACTGCCTGGGGGTCCTGGGTATGACTGCCCAGAGGTCTTCGTTATGACTGTCTGGAGGTCTTTGTTATGACTGCCCTTAGGCCTTCGTTATGACTGCTCGGAGGGCTTGGTTATAACTGTCCGGAGGTCTTGGTTATGACTGGTCGGAGATCTTGGTTATGACTACCTGGAGGTCTTGGTTATGACTGCCCGGAGGTCTTGGTTATGACTGCCCGGATGTCTTGGTTATGACTGCCCAAAGGTCTTTGTTATGACTGCCCGGAGGTCTTGGTTATGATTGCCCGGAGGTCTTGGTTATGACAGCCCAAAGGTCTTTGTTATGACTGCCCGGAGTTCTAAGTTATGACTGCCCGGAGGTCTTGGTTATAACTGCCCGGAGGTCTTGGTTATGACTGCCCGGAGGTCTTGGTTATGACTGCCTTGAGGTCTTTGTTATGACTGCCCGGAGGTCTTGGTTATGACTGCCCGGAGTTCTTAGTTATGACTGCCCGGAGGTCATGGTTATGACTGCCCGGAGGCCTTGTTTAGGACTGCCAGGAGGTCTTAGTTATGACTGCCCGGAGGTCTTTGTTATAACTGCCCGGAGGTCTTGGTTATGACTGCCCGGAGGTCTTAGTTATGACTGCCCGGAGGTCTTTGTTATAACTGCCCGGAGGTCTTGGTTATGACTGCCCGGAGGTCTTAGTTATGACTGCCAGGAGGTCTTAGTTATGACTGCCCGGAGGTCTTTGTTATAACTGCCCGAAGGTCTTGGTTATGACTGCAAGAGGTTTTGGTTATGACTGATCGAAGGACTTGGTTAGGACAGCCTGGAGGTCTTATTTATGACTGCCTAGAGGGCTTGGTTATGACTAGCCGGAGGTCTTGGGTATGACTGCCCGGAGGTCTTGGTTATGACTAGCCGGAGGGCTTGGTTATGACTGCCCGGAGGTCTTGGTTATGACTGCCAGGAGGTCTTGGTTATGACTGCCCGGAGGTCTTGGTTATGACTGCCCGGAGGTCTTGGTTATGACTGCCCGGAGGTCTTGGTTATGACTGCCTGGAGGTCTTGGTTATGACTGCCCGGAGGTCTTGGTTATGACTGCCTGGAGGTTTTGGTTATGACTGCCTGGAGGTCTTGGTTATGACTGCCCGGAGGTTTTGGTTATGACTGCCAGGAGGTCTCGGTTATGACTGCCCGGAGGTCTTGGTTATGACTGCCCGGAGGTCTTGGTTATGACTGCCCGGAGGTCTTGGTTATGACTGCCTTGGAGGTCTTGGTTATGACTGCCAGGGAGGTCTTGGTTATGACTGCCCGGAGGTCTTGGTTATGACTGCCCGGAAGTCCTGGAGGTCTTGGTTATGACTGCCCGGAGGTCTTGGTTATGACTGCCAGGAGGTCTTGGTTATGACTGCCTGGAGGTCTTGGTTATGACTGCCCGGAGGTTTTGGTTATGACTGCCAGGAGGTCTTGGTTATGACTGCCCGGAGGTCTTGGTTATGACTGCCCGGAGGTCTTGGTTATGACATGCCCGGAGGTCTTGGTTATGACTGCCAGGAGGTCTTGGTTATGACTGCCCGGAGGTCTTGGTTATGACTGCCCGGAGGTCTTGGTTATGACTGCCCGGAGGTCTTGGTTATGACTGCCCTTGGTTATGACTGCCCGGGGGTCTTTGTTATGACTGCCCGGAGTTCTTGGTTATGATTGCCCGGAGGTCTTGGTTATGACTGCCCAAAGGTCTTTGTTATGACTGCCCGGAGTTCTTAGTTATGACTGCCCGGAGGTCTTGGTTATAACTGCCCGGAGGTCTTGGTTATGACTGCCCGGAGGTCTTGGTTATGACTGCGGAGGTCATGGTTATGACTGCCTGGAGTCTTAGTTATGACTGCCCGGAGGTCTTGGTTATGACTGCCCGGAGGCCTTGTTTAGGACTGCCAGGAGGTCTTAGTTATGACTGCCCGGAGGTCTTTGTTATAACTGCCGGAGGACTTGGGAGGTCTTAGTTATGACTGCCCGGAGGTCTTTGTTATAACTGCCCGGAGGTCTTGGTTATGACTGCCCGGAGGTCTTAGTTATGACTGCCAGGAGGTCTTAGTTATGACTGCCCGGAGGTCTTTGTTATAACTGCCCGAAGGTCTTGGTTATGACTGCAAGAGGTTTTGGTTATGACTAGTCGAAGGACTTGGTTAGGACAGCCTGGAGGTCTTATTTATGACTGCCTAGAGGGCTTGGTTATGACTAGCCGGAGGTCTTGGGTATGACTGCCCGGAGGTCTTGGTTATGACTA